TGCACAGCAAAGGCAGGAGCCAATGCTGCTGCTGACCTGGCTGGTGAGTCCAGCAGGTCAGGGGTTACTACAGCTTGTAAGCAAGGATTAGATCTGAGGGAGGGATAATGAGGCAAAAGGTGATGGATTTAGGGTTGTGCTGGAAGGTCCTGAGAGGAAGACATTGATTCATGAGGGAAGAAAACCATGTAGATGGATGCATGCCTCCTGGCTTGGTTTTTCCCTTAGTAGCCATTCTTGTTATAGACCTCAAAGCAGGGGATGGATCTGAAATCAGAGATCTGGCTATCACAGCTGCAGATGTTACACCATCCTATGGATTATTTGGGACTTGCTCATTTCACAGTCTTGTGGTCCTGCAAAGAAGAAAAACTGCTACAAGGGCATTGCTGCTCCCTTTCTCCTTTCTAGAGGGCAACACAGCTCATTGTTTTCTGTGTCTGAGAATGGAGCTGTGCCACTGGAAAGAAGGTTGCTTGCATGCCACAAGCAGAAAGGCAGAAAGGAGAAAGGCTTCAGTAGCCTGCTGGCAGGGTGAAAATACGCAAGTATGGCTGAAAATTACTCACAAAATAGAGGTCAGTATGTGCTGACTCACAGAGCTCTGAGTGACGAGGAAAGAGCGTAGCTCTCTAGGATGTGCAAACCTATTTCCACATCCATGGATGTGCACATCCATGCTAAGGATGTGCAAATGCTAAAGAAGCCCAGAAACAGCTTTCAGTGACTAAGCCTAGATTACCCAGTTGTAGGGGTTTTTCTCTGAGTCAAGTTTTCCATACTTGATTATGAGTTAAATTCTTCTCTTAAAATTTATTCTGATAGCTTGTGAAAGAGCCAAAGCATTCTCCATCACTAATGTATGTTGGAAAGCAGTTCAGAACATGTTTATCATTTCAGTTTGGAGTCTACAAACACGATGGCAGAAGAAAAGCAGCCCTACGGAGCTCTGATTCATACGGATGGAAAATCCAGCCATAACTGCATCTTTACTTCCACCCAGCTTTTCAGGGTCATAAAAAAGCTATGCATCCTTCTCATTAGTAAACAAGTCCTGGTTACTTTTACCCGACAAGCTGAAAATTCCCACTGGGCATTGCAGTGGCGGGCCCTTACTTGTTGCTCACGGGAGAGGGCTGCAGGTCTGCAAATACTCTGGATAGATTCAGCTCCTTGGGCTGAATCAGCTCCTTGGGCTGAGGAAGAAGTAATTTTCACTTGCCATCTGTTTATTGCTCATTTTTCTTGAGCAGATGGTCACAGTTTTTACATATTTGTTTTTCAAATGTGACAGAAGTAAAAGATTCTTGAGACATTTTATTCTGTGATCTGGTCTGGATTGTCTCTTCTGGAATGAAGTCATCTCATTTTCACAGAAGTCATGAATTGGTGTATGCTTTTTCTTTTAGTCTAGATTTGACTTTTCAGTGAATCTTAACTTCCTTATCCAAAAATCTATGCAAGACTACTTGAATTTTTTTGACCTGAAATCATTCTAACTGGTAGGCTGTGTAACATATAGCACATGAAATAGGGATTAAATGTGCATGATATGATTGCAAATGTTGCAATTTTTATATATGTACTTACAGATACAGAGTAATGAGCTGTCTGGCTGGGATTTTTGTAGACCAGGCTAAAATCATTCTCTGGATGGGGAGATGGCCACTGGCTTCAGACAGAGCTCTTGGGGCAGTTCGTAGAGCTGAATGTGCTCTATGACAAACAGGGAGAGGAGTGGAGAAAACCAGATGCTACCTCTTCTTTGCACACTGGCTGGCACTGTGAGATGTACCACAAAGTCCACACGAAACAAATACGCTGGGGAAGTCACAGGAAACATTGCTTAAGCAAAACCTCCCCGTTTTCTTTCTTTGGTAGCTGATGGTCACAGGAGTGAGAGAGATTCACAAATATGAAATCTGAACAGGGAGCAAGCGGCCCTAAAGGAACTGCAGCAATTCCTGGAAGCCCAGGCCTGGCTGGTCTCCCTGGGGCTGCTGGAGTTTGAATCGTCACTAATTACTGCAACAGAAGTCAGTCAGTTTTGTGATCAACACAAATATGATGTGTGATTTGGGATTTAGCTTAACACTGGGATTTAGCTTAACACGGATAGCCATCAAGTAGCTGAGAAATATAATGATCATCACTTTCTTTTCCTGCTTTCTACAGTGTTATGCAGAGCTACCGGGAAGTCACCAAAATAAGGTACTGAGGGATGTAGTTAGTCATGAGGCTTTCCTTTAAATTCGATGATTAGTAATTTCTTTATTTTTATTACCACTTAGTCAGCTCAGGGCAATTAGGGTTAAAGCGGAGAGGAAATATATTTCAGAGGTAAACAGATATGGAAAACATATCAGCAGCTAGCTGGAAACCAGTCCAAATTCTAAGTGTAAATATGTGTGAATGTGGCAAAAACAAACAAACAAAGCCAACAATCATAAAATACCCAAGATAGCAACAAATACATTTTTCTTTATTTCACCCCTTTAGAGAAAAAAAAAAATCTTTCAGTGCTGCTGTGATTATTTTGCACTGTTTATGAGTAAGCCATACCAAAGTGCTCTGGCATATATTCTGCATACACAGTGCTCCCTGACATGCAGAAAAGGTGGGTGTGCTCACTGCCACGTCTTCTGATGGTGCCTGGCAATGAGAGGTCAGCAGAGGTGATGGTCTGAGGTCCTACTGAGGTACTTCACCGCCTTTACGGTGTTAAGTGCTTCTGTGGAGCAGAAAGGGTACATGCACACCAAGGCTGTGTTTTCCTGGCTCTTCTGTGGGCCAGTTGAGAGGAAACCTGACTTCAATTGCTGGACAGAGATGTGTGGGCATCATGTAGAAACTGGCTGTAAATCATTGGAAAACTTTATTATTTACCAAGAAGTGAAACAGAAGTTCAGAGAGGCCCAGTTCTCTGTGCATTTGCAATGTCCATTATTTTTATTTTATTTTTTTTTTCTCTCCAGAAAATCTGGTAATTGCATGAGTAACAAGCAAGAGACACCTGTGCATTGCTGTTAGCATGCACACATGCAGACAGCCAGCTTCTGATATTTTTGTCAGTGCATGAAGGCAAGACTTGAGAATAAGTTGAAAAAGTCAAAATACTGTAGAGATAATTATTGGATTGGTGACTGAGACACACTTGTAACACCTTCATTTAGTGTGTGAATCATAGAATCATAGAATCATAGAATATCCTGAGTTGGAAGGGACCCTTAAGGATCATCAAGTCCAACTCTTGACACCGCACAGGTCTACCCAAAATCTTTTGCCTGAGTCTGAATGATACCTCTTGGTTTTGAGTAATATAATTGTGAATACCTAAGAGCCTGTTTAAATCTATTAGTAGTCCACTAACGCCCATTCTCAACACCTGTCCTTTGAAAACGACCCATTGAAATAAAACTGTAGCCTAAGAAATGTGGACCAAATCTAAAGAATTCTGCATCTCTGGCACACAGCTACTAATTAAGAAAAAATTTGAAACACAAAACATTTTGTGATCTGTTATTCTCAGGTATGTAATAGGAATAAAGGTATCAAATATAATAGGATATATTGAATAATATAAATAAATATGTAAATATAGCACAGGTTAAAGTGCTATGGCTTTAACAAATTAAAGTTGTCCATTAAGAGCTAGATTCCTTGTTTGTAAACTGTTAAGAAAATATTGTTTTCAAGAATCCTACTGAATAAATGCCATCAGGATAGTTATTAGAAAAAGGATGAAGAAATGTTATAATTCGAAGTGGAAACGACTGGAATAATTAAGATTTTACTTATATCAGAAATAAATAATTGGGCATTTGTAGAGATTTCTAACTGTTTTATATGCAATAATTTTTCTTCCAGCTTTAATTGATAATTTAGCCTTACAGGTACGCATGGTAAAAGAGATGAAATAATGTGTTTGTAAAGACATACAACTCACAAAATATTAGTTAACTCTTCGCATGTTCATGATTTTTACTAATTTTTCATTGCTTTCCTATATTATTCTGGAACCAACATAGCTCCCCACCTTCATCATCAGGATGGATAATTTTTAGGTTGCTTGGGTGTAAATGAAGATGTTAATAATCTGTAAAATATTGACTTTGCATACTGAAAGCTGCTACGTAAACCTGATGGAAGCAATTAGTTCATGAAATTAGATGCAATATCAGCATTTATATTTTACTTTAAAAGGATGTAATGGTGTTAAAGGACTGGAATGAACTGTAAATAGAGAAATACTTTTGATTCACTTGTTCCTTTCTCCCTCCTTCTGTTGCACTCATCTTCTGTCTGAACTCCTTGCAAAAAACAATTGAATAAAGCCAGGAAATAACTGTTCCAGTGGTGTTACAGCAAGCCGTAGTTTACAAAGTGCTACTAAAAGTGAGCTATTTGTTTAGGAAAGGAGGCAAAGGACTGCAAGGGCTTGAAGATGCTATTGATGAAAAGGGAGGACTGGATGCCAAGGCCAGACGGGGGAGAAAGGCACTGCTGGAGCTGGCAGTCTGTGAGATGTACTGTTCTTTTGGAGATAAAATATCATCAAAGACACCAGATATTTAGGGTAAGGAGAAGATACACAGAACTGATCTGACACAGAAGGAAATCATTGTAATGAACACAACAGAAGGATCAGAATGGGAACAAAATAGACAAATAGTTATTCCTCAGGCCAGTGAAAATGCATGAAGGAAGATTTCTGACTCACAGAATCTGAATTTAACTTTACAAGGAAATTAATCTAAACTGATAAGAGTGCAGACATTTTCATCTATTTTTTTCCTTATTTTTGGAAGAGCCATGTTTAAAAATAATTGTGCTTGAATATTTGGTCTACAAATACCATTTTTTGCCTTAGCTGGATGCTAGAAGAGGGCAGTACAGCCAAACATTGTTAACCAGATAATCACAGGAAATTTGGGAGGCGTTTTGGTGGGATTTGCTATTAATGGAAGTGTTCTTTCCACTGCTTCTACTTCATTTTCCTAATGTTTCTAATGCTCTTAAACTACAGGGACTACCTTTTCCAGCAACTCATGTGAAAGGACTATGTAAAAGAATATTCTTAGAGCAAATCTTACCTTTTGCAGACAGTCTGAGGAAGAAATGTGCCAGCACATATCCTCTCTGTGGAAACGTATCCCCTGGTTCTCCAGGACATCAGGGTATTCCTGGATACCTTTGGCAAGAGGTAAGTGTAGTGGGAGAGAAATATAGGCCCACTTTGCAAATCCAAGTGTAGCTGAGCACTGAATGACATGAAACATGAAATACAAGGAACAGAAAAGACTTTCTTTAATGTAGTATTATACTTGATTTTGTTCTCACTGAACCAAAGCCAAAGTGAGTTTTCCACTGACTTCAATAGGAACCAGGGGAATTTGCTTTCCTGCAGGGAAAACAAATAGAGAATAGCTATGGAAGAAATTATAAGGCTGCAAAACAAAATAAAATGCCCAAACCAAGACCTTGAGATTTTTACTGTGTTAATTTTAGCTTAGAGAAACATGCAATGAAGTTACGGTAAAAGATTAGATAAATCCCTTTTAATGCTATTACAAACTGAGCAATAATTTAATAAACATTTTTTCTAAAAAACTACCCCCAAATGATATGAAACAGTTTTAAAACTTTAATTGTATCATTATTTTCAACAACTCTGAAAGCAAACTGTGACTCATAACCACAGCATTCATCTCCCACTGCTCTAAAAGGTCTTGAGGGACCACAATTTGCCTTTCCCTTACTTGAGGGACCTATGAGGGATCATAATTTCATTAGGTATAGTTGATTGGTATTTTCTGGTACCTACAGCAAAGAATACCAGAGAAGAGTAAGTTCCAAAGCAATTCTTTTACTGGAGTTATGTTTGTTGCTGTGCTGCTGCCAAAAACCTTATTGCATTATCTAAAAGAAGAGGGAGATTTTAAAAAGTCAGCAGCAAAAATGTCTGGACTATTTCTTCTTGTTTTCACAGTTCTTTGTACATCTTTGTTATTCTGCTGATGACCACTACCTACTGTGCCATGAACTTTAGATGAAAAAGATTTATTTTACGAATCAGAAGTTAAATACCATGGCTGCTATGAGGTATTCTTAGTGATGCTGTTCAAGAATAAACAAAATACTCTTCTAAGAGAAGAATGAAATTGTAAGGGATTGCATGGCAGATTTGGAAAATAGGTAAAAATCAGCTTGTTTCACTTTGCAAATTTTGGGTTACCACCTCAAAGACATACACCACCTCATATAGAGACATAATGTGTTAATGACCTAACTGTATAAAAAGTAGTTTTTTAAGGCTTGAAGGTGCTCATCTACCTTTAACACTTCTTCCTTCATGGCAGTGACTCCCACTGACACACTTTGGTGCGTGCAGACCACAATGCCAAACTGAAAGCAAACAATGTTATCTCAGTTTTCTTGCCACACAGTTAAACATCTGGGATTTTGTTATTGTTCATTCGGTTGTACTGGCTTTGCCCTTGTGAACAAATGTTGAATGGCTTTATTCTATGTTATTTCCTTGCTCTAGACAGTCTTTGTCTTCCTAATCCCTTCATTTCTCCTTAACTGTTTTTAGTGTTGTCTCACCACCTTTTGCTGCTGTGCATTTTCTGCTTCATTCCTCTGCAGGGAGAAGTCTCTCCCTATATCTCCAACCTCCTCCTAACTTCCCTTTTTGACTTTGAGTTACAAGTACAACAGGGAATCCTTTAACAGCTTCCCTACTGGCTTCACGTCATCTCTGTTCAGAAATAAAACTGATAAATAATGTGCTCACACACAGTTGTTGGAGGGGATGCAGACCATTGCTGCCTGTGGGACTTGTCCTCATCCACAACACAATAGACCATGGTCAGCCAACTCTCAACTGCTACAGTTTAAGCACTGCTCCTAGTAAAGCAGGCATCTGTTGGTGCTCTGGCTTCAATGCACATATTGAACCACACTAGAAAGTTTCCTTATAAAGTTTTACAGGTATCTGAGGTGGGGAATGTAGACCAGAAGGATTTTATGTTGGTTTTGGTGATCCTGGAAAACAGGGACTAAAGGGTGGAATATTTTCAAAGGCTTTTTTAACATTGTCTTTTGCTCAATTAATTCAATGTTCAAAGTTTATGAGCAATGGACTATTTTCCACTTGAGTGTAAATTGTTTTACTCATTAACTTTTAGATGAGCACGGTGAAAATTGAAATAAAGGCATCAGAGGTTTTGGACTAGTTGGTTTTGAAGACAAGCAAGGTCCAAGAGTTTTGTTCTTGAAATTTGATGATTAAGTGGCTAACAAGAATTTTTTTTTTTTGCTTTGCAAAATATTTTCTAAGATGACATGAAAATAACATCAGAATACATACATGCACATGCAAAGAACAAAAGACATTTACATTTAAGGGTAATAATAACAAGTGGGTTCATAAAAACAATGATTTTTCTTTTTCTCTTTTTTCTTCCAGCAAAGCCAGGTTCTTTCCCCCCCTTCCCCTCAATTAAACCATAACACAGAACTGCCATTAAGTATAAATAAGAAGACACCATGGTAAGTATATGTACTTCTGGTATTTGTTCTTAGCTTCCCAGATGATCCTTAGTATTTCTTTGCCTGGGATACTGGGGTGGAATCAACAGTAATATCGACCATTCAGGTGACCATTTACACTATTTACTTCATGATGTCCTAGGACAGAGATTTTCTTTCTTGCTTCTAATACTTATTTTCATGGGTCTATATGGGCAACTAGAGCCAAGTGCTGCTTTCCATGCAAACATGGCCCAGAGAAACTCCAGGAGATTGCTCTGCAACGGGCTTATTCTAACTTTTACAGCAATTTCATCTCACAAGACTACCTGCATTTGTTTGCTGGATTATTTATTTTCTACAAGAATATATTTTCTCTCTGATGAATTCCAGTCACAACAAAATAAAAAGCTTATGCACTGGATTGGAGCATTTAGATGAGTAATGGGACACATATATATGAACAGTTAATTCCACTGCTTATGTAGTGCAGTTTTTGTACCCTTGCATCATTGAATAAAATGGTTTACTGTTTTCAGCCCCAATCAGTTTTTGGTTCTCCACAGCAGCTGCAAGCCCCCAGCTCCTCCTGCAAATCCTGGGAATGGTCACAAAGCTATTCACAGGACTCTGGCCCCAGAAGTCCCTCCTGGTGATGTGTACCTAGGAGAGGAACAACCTATGTATTGAAGCAGGAAGGAGGCATTGTGGGTAAGTTTTATACTGTAATGTGGGACTTGGAATGCAGAAGATCTGTTAACGTTCCTGGTTAAAATTTACCAGATATGATACAGCAAATTACAGCATTAGGCAAGCTATTACCAGATCCTGGTCTCCATTTTCTTATCTATAAGATGAAGTTTATGAGCTACATTTCTACAAATCTTCAAAGGAAAAAGAACATAAAAATGCGTAATAATTGTTTTCCCTCAACGCTTCTGTAATCTTTTCTCTCTCAGTTACAGCTATGAGGAAAGGTACACATATTCAGGAGTATATGTACATATTCACTGTAATGTTCATGCTTCTCTAGAAAGACCACTCTATCCCTATCTCCACTTCGTATTCATTGGCTAGAGGTCTTTCATATTGGAATTTTCTCTTTCTCTCTTTCCCTCTTTCTCTCTTATTTCTTTCTCTCTCTCTCTTTCTCCTCCTCTCTTTCTTTTTCTTTCTTTTATTTTTCTCTTTCTTTTTCCCTTTTTCCCTTTCTTTTTCCCTTTCTTACCCTTTACCACTGTTAAAATATCAAAGCTGCTCTTCCCATTGGTCTTTGAAAACATGAGCAGCCTACTTGCCACGATCCTGGTGTGGAAGAAAGCAAACGCAAAAGAAAAGGTCATTGCTTCATTGCAAGGTGCAACAAATTTCCTCCTCTCTCCACAACATCTCCTGCTAGGTAAAAGCAGAACAAGACACACTTTCTGCTTGTTAATGTAATACGGATTGATCTGAAGAAACAGGGCCATTGGGTTCACAGGCCTCAGGAAAGTTAAGTTCATATAGCTGAAGCTACTTCATCAAATAGAATCATAGAATATTCTTAGTTGGAAGGGATCTACAAGGATCACTGAGTCCAACTCCTGACTCCATGAGACCACCCAAAAACCAGACCGTGTGTCTAAGAGTGTTGTTCAAACACTTCTTGAGCTCCAGAAGGCCCTGGGGAGCCTGCTCCAGTGCCTGACCACCCTCTGGGTGCAGAACCTTTTCCTCACACCCATCCTGACCCTCCCCTGTCCCAGCTCCATGCCGTTCCCTCGGGTCCCGTCGCTGTCCCCAGAGAGCAGAGCTTAGCGCCTGCCCCTCCGCTCCCCTCGTGAGGGAGCTGCAGGCCGCCATGAGGCCTCCCCTCAGCCTGCTCTGCTCGGGGCTGAGCAAACCAAGGGACCTCAGCCGCTCCTCATACATCTTGTCATCTAAACCCTTCACCATTTTTGTAGCCCTCCTTTGGACACTCTCTAGTAGTTTTATGTCCTTATGTTGTAGTGCCCCAAACTGCACACAATACAATATGATGTACCCCAGGACATGTCTGCCCTTTGGGCTGCCCAGGAACACTGCTGGCTCACATTCAACTTGCTGTCAGTCAGAACCCCCAGATTCCTTTCCAAGGGGCTGATCTCCAGCCTCCATTCACTACTTTGTCTGCTAGACATGTTACTGTGAAAATGATTGCTGAGATATTTCATTTTCTACATCTCTCTCCCCCTTTGAGTTAAGGTTTTCCCGGATGAACCATAAACTTAAAGCTACTGGACGAAGGGAAATTGGGGCTTTAATCCCTTTTAGCTGCCAGCAGACAACCCTCTGTTCTGGTCTTATTAACATCTCTCTTCTCAGAAAGACAGAAAAGGGAGAGAGGAAGCTGAGTATAACAACCATGCCCAACCTTCCCCCTGAGGTCTGTAAGGCAAATCAGAGACACATTTCTGCATGTGATGTGTGACTGAGTTATGAGGACTGGAGCAAATGGGCAATGGGCTGGTTCAGGGAGGTAGGGAGGTACAGAGGGGACAGGCTGGTGGTGAGCTGCTCTAATGAGGCAGGTCAGGATACATATTTATATATTGTATATTATATATGTATTTCTGGGTCAAGCAGAAGTCAGAGAAGTAACTAATAAAAGCTTATCTGAATCACGGTGTGCGCTACCACTCCTTAAGACTTATTATTATTATTGTTATTATTATTACCCCAGAAATAGTGTATTTCATAGGTTTTAACCTCACCTCAGCAATACTGCAGAAACAATTCCTTTCACTTTGAAGGCAAAAGTTACAAATGAGTTAAACTGACTGATGTAATTGTTGGCGGAAGAAAATTACTTGTCAACATGGATGCATTACACACTTTAAGGTGTGCAGCGTAACTATTGTTTTCTGCAAAGGTATCACAACCTGTTCAACTAACCAATGATGAACACACAGTGAAAATGAAGTTGCATTAATTTAGGTACTGGTGCAATAAACAAGACTAATTTGACTTTTAACATGCTGGGAATGTGGCAGATGCTTTAGTCATCATTGCCAGCTGTTCCGGTTCTCTGTGGTGAGGAAGTCTTGATGTGGGTTGAGAGACGAGGGGTTGGTAAGCAATGCTCAATATCTGTTTTCAGAGTAAGTATGCCTGTGAATGCTGGTAGTGGTTTTGGTACTGAGATTCTTGTCAGAAAATTCCCTGTAACACATTCCATGGGTGAAATTTATCCTTGCCCCCTCACTTTGAACTGGTTCTTCAGGACGATTTCTTAGGAGATGTGAGCTGAAATCTGTCAGAGATTGTGTGGTGTGTGGTTCAGCTTTTGTAGGAATCTGTATGTGCATAAACAAAATGACAATACGCAATGAGGTTTATCAATGATTTCTCCTAGAAGTGCTGTCCTCTATTAATCATTTAGGGGAACTGGAGTGAGAGGGACAAGTATTTATACTTTAATATTAGTGTTTAACATTTCCAGTTTCTCTATTTCAGTGAGGAAAGATTCAGCCCACAGATTGGCCTCTATCCCTGTGTAAAGGGTGAATATGTGAGAGACTTGTAACAGACTCTCTTGTGAGTTCTACTCCTGTAAACACTAAGTTGTGTGCACAACTGTTATGGCTAGTTACATGTATATGTAAAGCTTTGCAGAGTTAGGTGATGATTTCAGAGCATGACCTTGTTCAGAGTCTTCTGTAAACCTTTCCCTTTTTACATCTGGTATTTGTTGTTGAAGATAAAGCAAAGGCTAGGATTCTTCCATTCTTTTTATTTATATGAGTTTTAACAAGCTTTAGGAAACCTTTTAGTGGAAAATTAATTTAATTGCTATTTTACAGCAAAATTTCCTTTATTTTCAGTGTTGGAATATTAAATTTTCCGATGTTAGGAAAAGCCCAGTTCAAGCCTGATTACATTTCTTATAACGCAGCTTTGCTTCAGTTACTTGCTCAGAGCACAGAATAGATGATGCTCTCTTAGGAACACCTTTTCAATCTTCTGCTGACTTTAGTTGGTGGGTATAGGTTTTCTTAATTCATGATATTTCATCTGCTACTAGAAGAAAAATAAACAACAAACACATTTACTTTCTGAAGGGCCTTTGTCAGACAGGTGTTGCTGGAGTAGCTTTTATGTTTCACAAAGATGAGACAGTTTGTTTTGATGGTGCATTGCATAGCAAAGAAATACTTTCATGTCTCCTTCTTAGATGTGAAGCTGAGGAACAAGGGAACTATGGTGGGGAGAAAGAAAAAAGAAACAAAACTCTGAAATTTATGTTGAGAGTACTTAACAATACAATCTGTTTTCCCTGCTCTGTCAATCAGCCCTTCAGTCTGCTGCTCACACTAGGAAGCTTGCACATAGTGGCTGCTCACTGAAGACCTCACGTTAGCTACCTGCTCAAAAGCACACAAAGAAATAGGTTTTCTAGGAAATCTTTTGAAATAAACCCTAATGGGAGTTTTCATATGAGTAATCCACTGGGTGGCAGAAGTACATCAGAAAAAAACTTGCTTAAACATAATTAGCATAGAAACGTATGGACATATAAGTTTAGCCACCATTTAAACTATTGTGTAGCAACACTACCTGAATTTTCCACCTGAGCTGAATGCATTTGAAAATAACATATCTCAAGAGATAATAAACAGGAAAGACTTTTTTTTTTTTAATAATAATAATAAAATAATAAAAAAATATATATTTTTTTTTCCTTTCCGTATTTAAGCAGAAGTAAGCTTCTGCATGCTCATATTCTTGTCCCTTTTCTTTTTATTCTCCCCCTCTGAGATTTTCAGAGGGGGAAAGGACCTGGGCTGCCTTGTCATCCCATGCATTTCTTCCTGCACCTTTTGGAGGATGAGCACTGGTGCTGAAGCTGGGGACTTCATTGTGCTCACTGCCTCAGCTGCTGTTGTCTTGCTCCTTTGCACAGGAGAGATGTGATGAGGATGTATATGTCTTCTATCTTCTCAGTGTTGCTATAGTTAAACAAACAAAAAAACTTGACTGTCAGTATTGAGGATATGCAGATCCTTTTCCAAGGTACATGTTCCCAGGTAATCCAGGTCTTTAGGTTGGTTGCTCTTACCAGCCAAAGCTGTCCCTTTGTTTTGCTTGGCTTTGTAATTCAGGGCAGGTTTGATGCCTCAATGGAGGAGTCACACCACTGATAGTACAGTGGGTGAGTAGTTAAGAGACTTAGAGGGCAGGTGATGATTTTCATAGTAATTAAGACCACCTGGTATGGTTAGTCTCCACAACTGTATTCATTGCACTTTAGGTGAGCATAGCGAAAATGGAGATAAAGGGGAGAAAACTTGTATGGACTAGTTGGCTTTGAAGGTGACCAAGACCTAAGAGGTAAGTTTTCATCTTTATTTTTAATTTTTTTTTCTGCTAGGAATATGTTTCAGTCTATGTGGTTCCCTGCGTATGTGTAATTCTGCCAGAAGCAGACTAGCCTAAGATAAGACTGTGATCCAGTATGCTTCTCATGTCTGTACACCTCCTGTTATGGCAACTGAACATAATTCCTCTTTGGAAAATAACTTGGAATAACTAATCCATCTGCTGTAAATCCCAGAAAGCTTAGGGCTCACCCAAAAGATTCAGGGGGTTTAAAAGAATATAATATTTTGGTTTACCTCCTGTGTTCTTTTTTATTTTATTTTTTGTTCTTGTTAATTTGTTTTGTTTTTAAATACTTTCTCTATAAAATATGCAAGGAAGAAATAGAACCACTGTTGTCACTACTTCACTTTTATTTTTTTATAGTGGATTTAGCCTTGTTGCCAAAATTTGTCCTTTATATCTGCTGTCCAAATAACCCTGCTTCAAATCTCCCTCTGTTCCTTCTCTACTCTCTCTGGCACTCCTGATTTCTTCCACTGCCTGGCCAGCATAAGATGCAGTAACCAGTACGGTTAGTCCCCACAAATGTTTTTGTCCTATTAAAATCAGTGTCCAAGAACTTCTTTATTATGTGTTTTATTATTCTGAGGATGTGAGGATTGTGGCCCTTTGAAAAAACCACCTTGCAGGTGAGCATAGTATGTGGTGGAATGGGTCAGTCGTACTCAGTATCTGAAGGATTGCCTTTAACTGTACGTGGGGTGACTGATCTGGAATGCCTTTATTTTACCCCCTCAGAATGTGAGGATAGTTCCCAATAGCATATTTGTAGAATTTTTTCTTTAGAGGACAACAAATGCCAAATCATAATAACTAAAATGAGGTCATCTATATCAGGCCCAAGCTATTCAGCAGCACACTGAAATCTCTGCAAAGAATTGGATAAAAGAAACAAACTGTTGAATCTTGCACTGGCATGACGCCTACTCCCTTTTTTAAACTAATTTCTTCTAGCTGTATCATTCCACTTTGAACACCACTGCTAAATATACACAACATTATGAAAATGTGACTATTTTTTAACTGTCTTAAGTTGTATACCACATTAGCATATACTTTTAGGCAAAACAACTTATAGCTAAATTTTACCTAATCTTCAAGTTAAAATCTGAAGGTGTGATACTGTTCAACCTGCATGGAAGAATACATATAATTTTTTATTCTATATACAATTTTATGCTCAACTTGATTTATCCATATTTGATGATATGTAGAAGTTGGTAAATAAAATAAGCTCTCTGCACACAGCTGTGATAGCTGCAAATAGTGTTGCTTTTTATTTATTTATTTTTTTAAATGAGCAGTAATCATAAACCCTATGTGCTAACTAGTGCTAACTAGTACTAACAGATAAGAAGAGTAGGGGTTGGAAAAGGATATTTTCCAATTGCGTATGTACTTTTATGCAAGATATAAAATAAGGTAGTTTTCTGGGCACATTCAATGAAGGCTTGTGCATTAATCTGGTCCAAATGTGCTGGACAGACTTAATTCTCCCAGTCAGCCTCAGTTCTGGGGGTAGTGGCATGGAAGGACCACAGCAGTGTTCAGCCCTGTTAGAGCAGGGTCCCACCGAATCTGTTTTCCAGTGCGTGTTTTCACGTCAGCCTTCATCCAAGCCAGCATCTCTACTGGATCCACAATTTGTATTTTTAGCAAGGAAAAGCTGAACATGTGTATGATAATATCTAAAAAAAAATAATTATGTTTAGGAAAAGAAACAAATTTCCAAAACTGAGGCCGAGGAAGAAGAAATGAAGATATGTAAAACTCCATATGAGTTCACGCGGATTTTTGATTCCTCTTCTGAAGAAAAGATACTGAATAGGATGTATTTGTCAGATGTGTCCCCTTGCCTTGCCATTTTGCCATGACCTCACTTTGAGAGAGGATAGAGGATCCAGAAAATAGCAAGTTTTTTTTTTTTTTTTTTTTTGAAGGGGGGGGAGTCAGGGGAGTGGGGAGTATAGACATGTTAGATAGATTGATGTTAGTTTCATTTTATCAAATATTTGATTTAATCAGGATTTGATCAGGGAATACATCTTCATATTCCATTGAGCTCTGTAGGGCTGCTGGTCAGAAGTTTCAAACCCTAGTGGGGGTTAAATTCTGAACATATTGCCAGGGACACTTGGAGTGCTCTAATATATTCAAATGCTGTCACATTGTCAAGTATGTTTATTTTTCATCCTTGCTTTCTCTATTAAGGAAAAGCAGAATTTAAGACACACTACACTCATCTATTGAGATGGAATTTTTTTTATTTATTTAGAGAAAACACAGAATTATTATCTTTTGCTTGTGCTATCTTGTTGTTGTTGTTCCTTTGTCTATTTAAATAAACAATATCTTAACACAAAGTATAACTAAACAGGAACATCATTAACTTATACAAAAAATCGAGAGAATACTCATAGGCTAATGCTGTTAGTCCAGGAGAAGTTATGGCTTTAGTGACATTGCATGATGCTGACATGGGCTTTGGAAGTGTAGTGGTTTACAAAACTGCTTCTATCCAATCTAAGCATATACATTTTCCAATGAAATAGTCCAAATTTTCCAAATAAAAAATGTTGAGTGGAAGGACATGCTGGAATCTGAGAAAAAAGCCAGGGTGGGGGAAATGTTAACTCACAGAGCAATTGACTAATGCTGGTTGGTCCCTGTCCCATTCCCCACTGACCTTTCAGAAACCAACCCTGGAATGACTCATTCTGCAGTCCCACCTCACCACCTTGTCTTTCCTCCCTCCCTTTGGGGCTGCTGAGAGGTTGTAATGACAGTTGTCTTCATTTGGCTTATTCATAACAACATTTTATGTTTTATTTCTTTCCTTAATTTATTTTGTTTTGCTTTTATTTCTTTCCTAGCTCATATGCAAAACCATCCCTTCCCTTTTCTTGGCTCTTGTTAGAATGCATTGTTATTCTTTCATTTGTATAATTCATTGTATGTAAAATTATACCCTTATAAAAAGAAGCTCACAATCATTTCTTTTCTTCTCTAAGGTCCATTCTAACATATATATTTTTTGAAGTTTCTTTAAATGACTTTTTATTTCTCAGCTGTCACCCTTTTAATCATTTGATTCCAGTTTACCATGATACTTGTAAACAAAACCAAAACTACCAGGCAAAACCAGCTCAGTGCCACACAAAACATACTCTGTCATCTTTTTCCTGTATGCCAAAGGGCAGTACCCAGCAATGATGAGAAGAATGTTAATATCTGCTGATCTTTAAGGAAAATATAATTGTCCTTTCACTTGCTAAGTTTCCAGAAATCAAGTCCCTAAAGACACTGGGATCAGCTTTTATGCTACAGTCACAATTTTATTGCAGCAGTTTATTGCCTAACCTTGAGTAATAACAGGATGGACTCGATTATACTTAGAGCAGTAGTAGCACTTAAAATTACAGAATTGGAAAGAAAATTCATGCCTGTTCTCTGGAATACCCAGGGTCCAGAAGACTTGAAAAGAAGTCAGAAAATCATTGAGACATCGCAGCAAGCCACCAGGGAGCCAGAGAAGCCTTCCAGCACTGAGTCAGCGTGTCATTTCAGGAGTGTATATTTCCTCAAATGCAATTCAGTTTTATTTACTTTATCCTGATTTTTTCCCCCTACCTTTTTCCACGCTTTCCATGTTTTCCTGGCTCTATGTTGTTATTTTCTCTTTTGAAAGAGAAGTAGGGGAATAATCCATTTACTTACTGGGAACTTGTGTGTGTTAGGCAGCCTAAGAGGGAAAAATTAACAGTTCTGGAGATTCCATAAGTATGCTACCATGGAATTGTATCTGTGTTGAAAACACTCATTAAATCTTAGACCCCTCTTGAGTGTTTCTGATTAACTTAAATGTTAACAGCCTTTGACAAAAAATCTGTTATCTAATTTCTGTAATAAAGTTATTCTTTTGTTTATCACACTTTGACAGCTGTCTTTATGCTCAGGTAATTAAGTAAGTAAATGGTTGACAAATTGTTAGGATTAGAAGTATTCAGTATAAAATTAACTTATGGTGGCTGCTTCTTGGAGCTGTCAGGAAGAGCATAATAAAATCTGGGTGCTTATAAAATAATGAAATAAAAATAAAAAGCGTGTGTGTTAGTTGTAAAATATGCTCCTGGAAAAACATTGCAAACCTTGAATAATTCCCAGCACTGTCATTTATAATACTGGAAATCATGATTTTTATTTTATATACACTTATGGATATAAATGGATTTTCATTAGACAGTAAATATATAATATCTTGAACAATCTGGCAGAAAGTACAATGCAATGGGAGTACTTCTCACAAACTTCTGTTATACTTTAGTAAACACAGGACTTCTATGTGGGAGGCTAGAACATGAATTAAGCAGTTTACTTAGTTAGCAATGTGCTCCTTAATTTTATATATCCATTCACTTACAACTCACAAAAAACAACATTCAGAAGTGGTTTGATCTCTGTCAACTGAACATCCTGTAGTTCATCCATGGTGGCGTAAGCAGTGTCACTTAACACTCACAGCTGTTAACTGTTTAACGCCTTAACTGTTTAACAAATTTGATTTCCTTTTATGATAAGATCACCCATCTAGTCGATCCAGGGAAACCAGCTGATGTAATCTTTTGGGCTTCAGCAAAGATTTTGACACTGATTCCCATAGGATCCTATTGGACAAAATGTCCAGCATACAGCTAGACAAAAACATCACACGATGGGTGAATGGGTAGGGCTCAAAGGGTTGTGGTAA